TACGGAAGATGTCAGTCACTTGTTGAAACACACTAGTTATCTAAGCGCACTTTTACTCAACACATTCTTTGAAAATTGGCAAGGTCAGAAAATAATAGATTCCAGCGAAAAGGTGTATGAATCCGCGTACGTTTCACACACTACCAGAAATACACTTACTAAAATCATATATGCCCAAGTGAATAAAATAATAAGAAATAATAGAATTGATAAATTTCGCGAAATAATGTAAAAAGTTTAACGTTTTCTCAAAAAAAAAAAAAAGAATAAAAAAGATTAGTAAATAGCATTAAAAGTAATAAATTTACAGATACAATACGGAATGGTACAGGATGCCAATAGCGCATAGAAAGCTTTTCATTATGATCATGATAAGAAGTCAAAGATCGCTAAAAGTAACCGCGGGTAATTTTGTTGACCTGTCATATGTAAATTTCAATGCAGTAAGTAAAACGATAGTTTATAGTTATAATATTGTACATACAATTTTTTTACTAAAAAGTGCAAAATTTTATCTAATTTAATTTAAGATATTACGTGCGTCATCATCTTATTTTATGCTGCTACGATCCGTACAATACAAACTTCAAACGTAATAAATAATATATAACAAATATCAAGACATTAATGTTCATACTTATTAATAATTATAATTAATTCACTTAAAAGGATGCGTATTTTAGTTATGAATTAGGTATACGTATATGAGCTATATAACCTTCCAGATGAATATTTTCTGTAATATAATTTTCTGTATAATTAAAATAAAGTTGCAGAAGTGTCATTTTAAACTAATATTCAAATCTCAGAATTTATTAATTAGATAAATAGTGATTAATAAAAATAACAATAAATAACGTAATTAAATTTTCGCAGCTTTTATAAATTGCAAAGTAAACTACACTAAAAAGTCTTTAGATCAAAATTTGACACATTTCTGGAAAATATCCGGAAATATAATAAATATTATAAATCCTATTCAGAGGTAATTGAAGTACGCTGACATTATCGACAATTGATATAAATCTGGTATTATTAACATAAATATTTGGCTAATACATTATTAAATTCATGATATTTTATTACATAAGTGCTCCATAAATAAATATGCATATTGTAAAACTATAATATCTTATATATTGCCGAAAAATTATATTTTTTCCTGCAGTTATCATCTCTGTTGATAATCAAACTTTGATGATAACACTGAAATCACAATTTTAAAGAAAAATCGAGTATTATTGAGTTTTAAATGCATGTACACCGATAAATATGTCTACTAAACTAATAAATCATAAAATTAGTACAATATTATCAGGTTTTATACTCTTAATCACTTCAATATTAACAAGGACATAATATTAACAACTCCCGTAAGGATGTCGGTCTTTAATAGTATCTCGTTGGTGACCAAAAGGAAATTACATACTAGATTTAAAGAACATGAAAGTGATATGAAAAAAACAAGCTCATAACGACCTGATGTAAGGTCGAAATGTTTATGATTGTTTATTTATATGTATATTATGTTATCAAGCAACAGTTTCATATAAAACAGTTTTATTGCTTGTCACACTAAGAACCTGTGTAGACTTTAATCCTCCTTTCTTTAATTATTTGATATATTATGTAAGCCGATATTGAATAATAATTAAATAACATTTGTTTCTCATCATTGAAAAAGGTAAAAGTCAAAACTAAAATGGAACAGTGCAGAGAGGGCGAAGAAAAAAGATGAGAGAGTGGAAGGGGACAATTCATTAAAACTGCCGAAGGCGGTGAACGATTATCTGTAGCCTGTACTTGAAGCCACGCATTAAATCTACGTTATTACAGGTTATTACCGAGTAATGAGAGACTTTCTCGCGCCATTTACGTATCTGCTGGCCTGCCGATGCAATTCCGCCTCCCCCCCCTTCTTAACTCCATCATATGCATTCCAACCCTTACGTGACTTCAACGCGCATTGAAACACCTAACGCGCACGAGTACACGATTTAATCGGGCAAGTGATGTCTCATAAATTGATAAATCAAACAAATTTTCTTAGGTACAACAAAAACATGCATTGTCTTAACAAATACGTTTTATTGAAATTCTCATTAAACTAATCGTGCCTCAGATTGACTTAATAGAAAGTTGTCTTTATTATAGTAGATAAAAAATCTGCTTTACACTAAATATTAAATACATATATTGAATATACGACTAAGAGTTGCAATACAAACAAGAGTTAAAGCTTATAACAAACGAATCTTGGAAACGAAACTGGATCTTAGATGCTTAAATAATATCCATGAATTTATACATATACTACATATGTATGTAATCATTTGAACTGCGCCGAATTGGTTTTTCGACTTAGGCCGCGATCCGATTCACGCTCACAACGCTTAAAAATCATTTCATCCTTGTTGTTTGTCAAATGTTGAACGAAGACAAATAATGCTCATGAGCGTTGTCAGCATGAATCGGACCACGGCTTTAGAAACGCAACTAAACTAAGTACTACAGTAATATCATAAATTAAATTGACAAGTAATTTAATAATTTGATGCTCAATTAGGCATCCTATTGGAGAGACGTGCTGAAAATCTGTAAATAAATTTATTGCAAAAAATATTACCTCGACCGGGAGTCGAATCTGAGGTAATATATTTTTCGCAATGATTGTTAAGTTTTACATTCTTATAGCATATAAAGTTTTATGAAAACGGAAAAGAATCATTGACGATATATGTGAGCAGTAAGAATTGTTATTGTTTTAAATTAAAGAACAGTTATGGTTTTTATACAAAATTTGTAACTTTTATGTAATACCAAGATAAATTTGAGATAACAAAGAAACGTAACAAGTATTATGAGGTTCACAATGTACGAAGAAATTTGATGTATGTAAGAGACGGAATCATTTTTCATGGACATGCATATTCTTAGCAACAACTATGTTTTTCAAAAAGAGATTTGATGCAATTATATTAAAGATCTTGCATACGTGCGTGATGTTAAACTCTTTCAAGATTTTATATGACGATAATATATAAATTTTAAATATTTTTTTATGTATACTTGTCGCATTTTTTTATCTCTATAAGTTTCTTTTCATATGATACAAATCTTTTCCAAATCTAACAATTTCAATGTAGATTTAGAAATACAATGCAAGAATCTAGAATTTCTTATAAATGTTTTTATGTGCATAAAATGCATGAATAAAAATATTTGACAAAATACGTTTATACAAGTATAATATAATAAAGTTTTCAGAAGATTCTTTTGTTTTGTAGGTATTCTAACTTTTCGCAAAAACAAATCTCAATTAGGTGAATTTTGCGCATTCTCAAGTTGTACATTGCAGAAGATGGTATCCGAGATAGAAATAGCAAGCAAAAAACAGAGATTCCCGCGTTTGATGCTCCGTCTGATGCGCGGCATATGCGCGACTAATTACAATCCTCTTTGATGGTTCGCCGCCGCCTTAACCCCTTCCATTCCTTCATCTCCGTTAGTCCCTGTTCCATCGGGCTTCGCCAGCAAACGCGCTGGTAAACGCACTCCTGTATAATGCTTTTGGATCTTATATCGGCCTAATAAAAATATACTCGTAGTAAATAATAAATTCGAGTTTGTGTTTGTAAACGCAGTTTGTGTCTGTAACAATTATTAATTGTAATTGTAAAAATTGTATGTCTTCCTTCGATGACATTAAGAATCGAAAAAGGTCAACGAATATTGAGAGCTCATCAAGAAGAAAGCCGTACGCCATGTATAAAATACGTATAATTAGCATTTTCGCGTTTGAAAGGGAAAGAAAGCGGCGAGAAAAGTGGGCTCCGTCAAAGAAAGCCGAAGACCTAGCCTGTTTCATTGTAGATTTCTTTATTCTACGCTTCACAGTCTGCGCCGAAGTAAACCAAGGTCACTCTTCGATGGGCGTAACAGACCGCATTAGCTGGACCCAAAAAGGTCCAAAGGGACCGGCTGTGGAAAACCCGAAATCGTGTTAACACGTATAATGGTAGATCATAACGACTCGGTCGTTTTGAATTCATTCGTACGCTTTTCTTCGGATAAAATATCAGGACTGACCTGTTTTTGCGGTTGGGGGGATCGGCAATATTTCTTGGATTCACTTCCCAGCATTTTTATAGAAAACGTTCTGTTTCAATCTGGTTATTAGGAATGTTCAGATTTTTCATAATTTTTGTAAATTATTGTGATTTTGCAAATTTGAAAATTTTATCACTTGAATTATCCCCTCTCCCCCTCCTTCTCTCTCTCTCTCTCCTTATGAATATTTTTAAATTTTTCACTAGAATTTTTGTGGAATGTTATAGCATTACGAATTTCAAAATTCTATCATTATAAAATCATTATATTTAAGAAATAAATTTGCATCCATTAAAATTATTTATATATTTTTTTATAATCCATTAAAATTATATATATATTTATTTATAAACTATCTTTTTTTCTTTAAACACATAAAGAAGAAATTGAATCTACTGTTCTTTCCAGACATCTTAAAAATTTATTACATATTTCTGCGAAGTTCGAAAGTCTCATTGAACGGATAAATTTATGAAAAACTATTGACACTAATCTTATCTATCCTTAAACGTCTCAACGAATTTATGTATACTAGATTAATGTATCTCACAGAAAAAAATATCCTGTTCCTCCGGGAAAATGACGGAAATTCATCGGCGACACAGCGCAACGTTCAGCGCTCTCTTTGTTCCTAATTATGCCTGCGGCCCTCGCGGAATCGGTCCCATAATCCTCGGCGGTCGAGTCAAGATAATAGGGCCCGCCGTGACGGCGGCTGCGGCGGCAAAAAGTGGAAGGTGGGGGAAGAGAGTGCGGCCGAACGGGCGCGGAATTACCCGAGCGTCTGCATCTGCGACATTGCGTGACCAGCGTAAACTTGGCATTGCATCTCGAGCCGATGCCGATGCCAGTCAACCGCGGTCGACCGTCGGTTACCGACACGAATGTGTTTAATGGGGTACCGCGTGTCGCGATCACGTGATCTTGTCAGTGCATACATGAATTATATACATATTATTACTATTTATTATATGCAGAACAAAATGTGAATGTTATTGACATTAAAAATGGTGCTACGTATCGTGGTGCTTATCCTTTCGGCGGCGTTGGTCCGAGGTTGGGGCATCAACCACGCGCACCCTGGAACCGGCGCCAAATGCGAGCGATTGAACGTATCTTTCTGCCGAGGATTGCGTTACAATATGACGGCGATGCCGAATTTCATGGGCAACGAAGATCAACGGCAGGCAGAACGAGGGGTAATTTTGATTCTTGAATTTTCTCGCTTATATTAAACCGTATGTCGGGAAAATTAGAAAATGTTCGTCATAAATCATGAATGTTAAAAAATGTGCTTTGTAACCCAAAAAATGAGATTTTTCTATGTTATAAACATAATGTATTATGATGTATTATAAATTAAGACCATTTTTTTTTTTAAAGAAGGTTTACGTTAACAAACTAACAGTTTATATTAACACTGTGGCGAATTAAAAAAATAATATATATTTTAAATAATATATCTTGTATAACATAAAATAACATAAGTAATGACTGTTTATATTTTATTGTAAATAATTTCATGGCTGAAACTATTACATATTAATTTCTTGGTTTGAAACTACTATTAATAGAAAATGCAATTTTCCTAAAAATAAAATTCGTATAGTTTGCAATTATTTATTAAATATTTAAAATATTGTAAGATAATGTATAGATATTTGTGATGTTTATTACAGTCACATTGAAACAAAAAGTAATATGTGAAATACGCTGGGTCTTAATAGCTCTCAGGTGGGAAGCAGCAGGTAGAAAAAGAGAGAAAAATTTTCATGGCAACGAGCGTTAATAAGCGATCGAAGATCAAAGAACGTACGTCCGGCTCTCATTAGCAGCGATAAGGCGAATCAAAGTCGCTGAA